TCTTGCTTAAACTATTTCAATCATCCAATGGGGAAGGGAAAAATAACACCATGCGCATTAGGGTCGGTCATCAACTCACCGTCCTGCAGCATCCCCCGTGACATGGTGTTTCAGCAATTCTGCCTTGCTCTCATCCCCAGGACTTCAGTGGTGAGCTTGTCCTCCAGCAGGTAACACTGATTCTATCCCATTATCTGTGTTCCAAAATAATGGCAATCAACACAACATCTGGATTATCACAGGGGGAGGGATAGCTCAGTGGTTTGAGCATTGGCCTGCTAAACCCTGGGTCGTGAGTTCAATCCTTGAGGGGGCCATTTAGGGATCTGGGGCAAAAATCTGTCTGGGGATAGATGACTTCCTGAGGTCCCTTCCAACCCTGATATTCTATGATTCTATCTTCAACTCCTCCAGCACTACTCCTCAGTCCCAGGCTTCTTCCAAGAAGGTCTTTTATAAAGGCAATCTTAACTAGAGGTGGACCTTCTTCTAACCTCATTATTGCCACAGATTTATACCTGCCTCTGGAGATTTCCATTACTTGTATCTGAAGAAGTGAGGTTCTTACCCACGAAAGCTTATGCTCCCAATACGTCTGTTAGTCTCAAAGGTGCCACAGGACCCTCTGAGGCTTCTTCCAGGACACTGGCTAGTAGGTCCCTTGCAAAACCCCCAGATCAGATGAAATACAAATTAAGCAACTTTGACCCATCTCAGATTTGAGCCTTTCATCCATCTCACATTCCCCCCAGTTCTGGACTCTTCTACTGAACACTAACCCACAAGGCACCTTCCCTGGAACCTCACTCCTTTTTCAAGGCCCATCACAGCAGTTAATACTACTCCTGTACATTTCCCCACAGTTCTTCCTCCAGCTGACTTCAGTCAGGTTCTTTCCATAGAGACGGCACTCCAGACCACCTCATTCCTGAGTCTCCACCACCCAACTGCTCTCAGCTCCTTCCTTTTAACTCCTCCCTGAGCCTGACACACCCTCCAGGTGTAACAAGGTGCAGCTAATAGAGCTCTCAGGCCTTCTCAGGTGATGTGGGGTTTATATATCCCCCTAAGAGAGACCAACCACAGAATGTGAATAATGAATAGAAAATAGTTGGAATGAAGCATTTGTGGACAACACATGGCATGAAAATGATTGGTCCAAATTTTTCAGCTAATACTTACAAAGAGTAAGCTTTCAAATGAGTTAAAACCAAACACAGGTCTGCATTTGTAACAGATCCAGTGCCATGTTCTCAGCTGGGGGAAATCCATGCAGTTTAACTGACATCAGAGCAATGCCAGTTTAAACTAGTTGAGGATCTGGCCCATTATTTGTAATGAATAGTTTGACCAGATCGGTCAGTCATTCCAAGAATGGTAGGGTGGGAAGGAGACATAAAAGGAAAGAGAGGACTTGTCTAGGGCTGGCTCAGGAAGGAATACCTAACTGCCTTTCATCTAATCTGTTATCTACAGTTATAGGCAGAGCTTGTACTACCACCTCTAGTTAAGATTGCCTTTATAAAAGACCTTCTTGTTGGCTGTTTGAAAACATTACCAAACTTCAGCTGTTTGGACTCAAATTTTCCATGCTGGGTGTCTGCCTCAAGATGAATTTTCTTTTCAAGGTTCAGCTAAGATGTTCCAGTCATTTCTAAGAACAAAATTAGGGGAAGAGGTGTTGTTTTGCCATGTTAAAAAAAGTCTTTCAGCTGTTTGGTTGAGAAGCTTGAGAGGGTGGGTCACCTTTTTGCCATCCCTGCAAAAATCTGCCCAAATTTGGGCAAATTATGAACCTTTTTTGAAAAAACTCTCTTTGCACATGCTATGTAGAGACTCGTCAGACTCTCTGAAGAGTCTGTCTGCATTGAGCATGCTCCAGTCCAGGGATACAGCTATTGAGTAGGTCTCTCCCTGCAGTTGCTGCTCCCAGGTGCTGGGGTATGCTGTGGCTGGGAAACTGTCTTTCCTGTGCTCTCTTTCCTGGGAAACAGAACTGGGAAACTGTCTTTCCTGTGCTCTCAATGCTCCCCATGCAAAGTGTGTCTCTCTTCCCCCTTTTAGTGCTGATCCATAGAAAGGATGACAATCTATTACTGCTGCAGATTACGCCTGTAGCTGAACTGGCAGAGGTCTGTTTGGTGGATCTAAAAGTGATCATGTGATGAACCGTCAGCATCATTCTACATGATGGAATTTGTTCAGTTTGGTTTTTTAAAAACCTAGGAAATTACACACATAAAACTATATTGAAAAGCCACAAGTAAGGTGGCAAAATCAAGCACTCAAAAATTAGGAAATGCCAGAATTAAGGTAGCCTGTGCAACCTTAATACTGCCCCCTTGTGTGTATGCATTATGCTAAAGTCTTTAATGATGTGATCAGATACTATTTTTTCCACAGGCTCCCTGCCTCATTCAGAGCACAGGATGGACTGTGAATGTATCAGAACTAGGTAGTGTAGGAGGCTGCAATCTGTAGGACTCCTGTTCCTTTGTTGCAGAAGTTGGAAGATGTTTGGTGACTGAGGCAGGAATCTGTAGGACGAGAAAGGAGGGCCTCATGGTTAAGGAACTTGAATCATAGAAATGTAGGGTTGGAAGGGACCTCAACAGGTCATCAAGTCCAACCCCCTGCACTGAGGCAGGACCAAGTAACCCTAGACCATCCCTGACACGTGTTTATCGAGCCTGTTCTTAAAAAACGCCAATGACGGGGATTCTACAACCTCCCTTGGAAGCCTATTCCAGAGCTTAACTCCCCTTATGGCTAGAAAGTTTTTCCTAATAGCTAACTTACATCTCTCTGGCTGCAGATTAAGCCCATTGCTTCTTGTCCTATCTTCAGGGGACATGGAGAACAATTGATCACTGGCCTCTTCATAATAGTCCTTAGCAGATGTGAAGATTATTAGGTCCCCGCCTCAGTTGTCTTCTATGAAGACTAAACATGTCCAGGTATTCAACCTTCCCTTATAGGTCAGGTTTAATAAACCTTGTTATCATTTTTGTTACTCTCTTCTGGACTCTCTCCAATCGAGTATCGAGTTTCTTCAAGTGTGGCGCCCAGAACTGGACACAGTGCTGCAGCTGAGACCTCACCAGAGCTGAGCAGAGCAGGACAATTACTTCCCGGGTCTTACATACAACACTTCTGTTAACACACTGCAGAATATTAGCCGTTTTTACAACTGCATCACATTGTTGTCTCATATCCAATTTGTGATACACTATAACACCCAGATCCTTTCACACAGTACTACTGTCCAGCCGGTTATTCCCCATTTTGCAGCTATGTGGTCAGGGTGGGTTTGCTTTAAATCAAATTAGTGATTTAAATCATGATTTAAATCACTAGTCAGGAAGACTCGATTTAATCATGGATTTCTATATAAAAGTGCATTCTTGTTGTTTGTTATAACCTTAATACATCTTCACAACTCAGAGATAGATGTAGTTTTCATTTTTAGAAAGTACATACTATACATTTTTAAAGTGATTTATTTTGAAAACTTTTCAGATTAGTTTTACAGCTATATGAGAAAATGAATGATTGTTTGGCTGTTTCATTTACCAAAGGTAATTGACCATTTACCAAAGGATATTTATGAAGTCATTGGGAGGTGAACTATCTCCAATTCAACAGGTTAATCATTAATATATGGAGGATTTTCTTGCCATGCTGTATTAGGAGGAGAACATCACCAGACAGACATTTAAATTGTTTTATTTAACTAAAACAACAACATTATATATTTTGGATTTTTTTCTTCAACAGCAAACATATAATATTTTAACAAAATATGCATATGAATTTTTGAATTTAGTTAAACATTCAAGTTTTTTAAAATCAGGGTTGTTTTTGTTAAAATTGTTTTTAACTAAAATAGTTAGATGAAATATTTAAAAAAACAAAACAAAAATTAAATAGACTATGTCAGCTAGGTCAACATGAGACACTTGAAATATTGGGGACAAAAGGGCAGTGACGTTAAAGCCCTCTGCCCTAGGATGAATTCCATCAGGCCTGCTGACTTGAATACATCTAACTTATCTAAATATTTTTAAACTGTTCTTTCCCTATTTTGGCTTGCATTCCTTGTCCCTTATGAATATTGTTTTGAGTATCTGGTCACCATAAACCTTTTTAGTGAAAACTAAAGCAAAATAAACATTAAACACCTCAGCCTTCTTAAAGTCATCAGTTATTAGTTCTCCTTCCCTGCAGGGCCTACACTGTCCTCAGTCTTTCTCTAGCTCCTAATGTATTTAAAGAACCTCTTCTTATTGTTGTTTTTGTCCCTTGCCAGCTGTAACTCATTTGGGGCCTTAGTCTTTCTGCTTTTGTCCCCAGGTGCTTGTGCTGTTCTTTGTACTCCTCCATAGCAATTCCTCCTCGTTTCCACTTTTTAATATAATAAATGGAGATATCCTATCTCCTAGAACTGGAAGGGACCTTGAAAGGTCATCGAGTCCAGCCCCCTGCCTTCACTAGCAGGACCAAGTACTGATTTTGCCCCAGATGTGCCCCTCTCAAGGATTGAGCTCACAACCCTGGGTTTAGCAGGCCAATGCTCAAACCACTGAGCTATCCCTCCCCCCGGTTCCTTTTTTGTAGGGTTCCTTTCTGAATAACTGGCACCCCCAAATAACTTGAGTTCTGCCCCCCATCTCCTTTGAGCAGGAGACTGCACTGCCTGAGCTGCTCCTCCTGTTGGCCATTCGCAGCTGGGGTTGTGGCTCACTGCATCTGTCCAGGGACAGGGGAGCTGAGCGACTCTGCCCATACCAATGGGTGTCTCCTGCAGAGACAGCCAAGCTCATCTCACCCATGCTCTTGAGTCCTACAAGAGAGTGACACCGCTCCAGCCAAAACAAACCCAGCCGCCCCCAGATTAACTCCACCCCGTGAGCGAGGCGAGCCCGGGCCTTTGGCAGCCTATCCAGGCTTGTGTGACCTACATACTCGGACGTTGAGGTGAGACGAAGGCGGCGGCGCAGGAGCGCTAGGACCCGGCTGGCTCTGCCCGCCGGAGGAGGAGCCGGGGCGCGGCGAGGAAGGAGCCCAGTGGCTGAGCTCTCCAGGCAGAGACTGGGGGGACGTACTCAGACATACACACGCACCGAGCCAGGACAAAGCGGGGAGCTGGCTGTGCGGCTGGGGCGCACGGATCCCCGCGGGGCTGCTGGCCCAGAGGCGAGGCGGCTCTGGCTGCTCGGGGACCGTCCCTCCAGGGGCCGGGGGACGCCGCGATGGAGCGGAGAGGTGGCGGCGGCGGCCAGGCTGCGCGGCGGCTGCTGTCCGGGGACAAGCGAGGACCCCGCCCGGCGCCGGCAGCTGTAGCAGCCCGGGGCGCTCGCCGCGCCTGAGCTGCCCCCTCTATCCCCAGCCCGCCCCGCACTCCGGACCCGACCCGGCGGTAGCCCCTGCCCGGGGCCATGAGGACCAGACCCCCCTAGCGGAAGCCAGGCGAGCGGCGGAGGGGGGATGTCCCAGCCCCACCCCCCCCGCGAAGTCAGGCGAGGCGGAGACCGAGCCCCGTCCGGGGGCCCCCCAGGGGCACAGGGAGCGAGCCTCGCCCGGGCACGCAGGGGCGACGGTCGGCGGGCGAGAAGAAGGGAAGGTGAACGTGTGTGAGGGAGCTGGGGGCTCGCCCCAGCCCCCACCCAGGTAAGGCCGGGCTCCGAGCCGCCCTGGGGCCTCGCAGATCTCCCCTTCGCGGCGTGGGTGCGGGTCCAGGTGGAGCCCAGCACAGCCGGACAATGCAGCGGCAGCCCCTCCCTCAGGGCCGCCGGGAGCCCCCAGCCCGGGCAGGGCCCTGCTAGGATAAGGAGGTCGCTGTGAGGCTGGAGACACCCCCCCCCCGGCCGATCTGTCTGTCCCCCATTGTGCAGCTACAGATGGATGCTCCGGGCGGAGGCAGGTGCAGGGAGGGCTGGGCTCCCCTTCCGCAGCTCGCTCCACTCCCCTGTTGTTCGTCTGAAGGCCCTTTCCTTTGTGTCTCTCCTGTGTGCAAAGCCTAGTCCCCCCTCCCCCCCAATCGCTCCCGGGGGGGCTGCATGCGCTCGGCGGTACCAGCCCCAACACAGCCATCCACAAGGGTCTGCATACACGCCCTAAATGCGCTAGATCGGAGCTTTGTATGGGGGGCGAAGCCTCCCCCATGATTGTCCTGCTCTGGAACCCCCCCCCCCCCTTTGCTACTGGCATGGAAATTGACATGGTGGGGAGTGGCGGTGAAACAGGGATCCAACCTCTTTTTTTATCAATGGATGTCAATCCCGTCTAATCCTGATTCCCCCCTTCACCCCAGGTGTCCCTCCCCCTCCCCTGTAATGGGTACTAGAGTAAATACACAGCAGTATCGGATATGGCTTGGTTCTGGCTGTGGTTCTGTCAGGCCCTTTCTCTGTGAACACAGAGGGATGTAAGTGAGCTGGTAGCAGCACCAGGACCAAATTCTATTGTCCCTCCACCCCAGAGCTCTCCCAGAGTTGGCACAACCTCAGCGATTGAATTGATCTCATTCCATAGTACCTGTATCCAGGGGCCAGTGCTTGAAGTGACAAGTTCCCAGCAGTGTCAAGATCCTACATATTATGCACATCTGTCTCTCACAGCAGCCTTCCTCTTTGCCACCTGTACTTCCCCTATCAGTTTAGGGTCCTTCTAGCCAGTTCTTAGGTACTCTTTCCTCCCCCCCTTCCCCCTTGTTGCCTTAAATCCTCACTGCTGTTCTAGGAGGGAAGCCTAGGGCTACTTATTTGATCCCTTGTTTACCTCCCTTCTATGAATCGCTGAAACTTTCTGACAGATTGCTGCATGGATTTCAGGGCTTGGCTTTAGGCAGTATGGGGGCGGGGGAATGTGAAGAGCAGGAGGAGGGATTATATTTTGAAGTCCCCATATATCATGCACTGCCTCCCCTGAGGCTTTCTAATGCTTTCAGAAGTGCTCCAATGTCATGGTGTTTGTGCTGTGAAACCCTCCTGGAAGAATCCTTTGCTATAGGCAACCCTGCTGGAAACACTGTCCCAAAGATGGCCTGTCCTCTACCCCCAGGTAGGTAAGTGCCGAGGTAGCAATCTCTCTTGGGGGAGGAGTGCCAATTTTCGGAAGGTGGCGTATCCCCTCCCTCCATAGGCGCAGAGCAATATCTCCATCATTACACATCTTGAGAACTGGCCAGGGCTATTTTCTCCTGGCAAACAACATGCTGTAAATACTAGTTAATGGAGCCATTTAACGGCGGCGGTCCTTGTGAGCTGAGGAAATAATATCTTGTCCTGCTGACATCTCCTGATGTCATTGGCCTTAAGGGCGGGGGGGTGCGATTCACCTGCCCTTTGGGCCTCCCAGCACCTTCTATAAGCATGGCAGGATGATCACCTCCTGGGACATGTGTTGTAGAGCTAGACAGTTCTTGGTCTCCTCTGACTCGGTTCTTAGGCTCAGCCTTTCCAGGTGGCCCAGCTATTCTGTTGCTTGGGGTAGCTGGTGAGACAGGGAGCGCAGCTGGTGTGGCTGTGACGTGCATGGCCATTTATTTTCATTTCTGCCTGATGGGCCTGCTGTTGCTGGAGTCTTCTCTTCTGGCCTGGGTGTGCTGCTTGTCATTCAGCTTTGCCTGTACCCTAGGGATGGCATCCCAGGTTGGGAGGGGACTAGAGCCCAGTTGCTTGATTGTGCTGTATTGTCAAGGAACCAAATGATCTCAGCAGGGATCAGTTCCTGCTGGTAGCTTATAGAAACTCTGAACCAGAGATGGAAACAGAGTGAGTCATGCTTGAAAGGAGTTGGAGCCTGAGTGGCAATGGAAATCCAGGGGTAAGGACTGGTGAAGAGTTTAGTGGGCTTTAGTTTTCCAAATGTGCCTTTTGAATAGTCACTGTGCAGCAGAGCCGCGAGGGAGAGCGTGGCTGTAATGGCTCCTGAGGACAGGAGAGTGATTTTGCTCTGGAGTGATTATTGAGGGCTGTGAATAGAGGTGACTCTGTTGACTTGATGAAATTGATTGCTGGGATAGAGCTGATGGATTGGGCTAGAAAAGGCAGGAAAAATAAAAAGAGAAAGGGAAGCAAGAGGCCATCTCCAGCAGTGAGAAGCTAGGTAGTGGTGGGCCAAGTGGCAGGCAGTGGAGGGGTGAGCTGCCCACCTGAACTGGACAAATAGAGGGGAGTGGCAGGAAAGGTGAGAGCTGATTGGGTTTTGTTTTTAATCTTCATTCTTAGTGGGATGCAGTGGAAAGAACCTGTCATTGAGCTAGAGTCTAGGGCTATGGCTACACTGGCGCTTTATAGTGCTGCAACTTTCTCGCTCAGGTGTGAAAAAACACCCCCCTGAGTGCAGCAAGTTACAGCGCTGTAAAGCGCCAGTGTAAACAGTGCCCCAGCGCTGGGAGCATGGCTCCCAGTGCTGTAAGCTAATTCCCTTGTGGAGGGGGAGTACCTGCAGCACTGGGAGAGCTCTCTCCGAACACTGGCACGCGACCACACTCGCACTTCAAAGCGCTGCTGCGGGAGCGCTCCCGCGGCAGCGCTTTGGAGTTTCGAGTGTAGCCACAGCCTAGCTCAAGAATCAGCTATGCTTTAGGAAGGGTGAGCGTGACCCAGTTAAATACCCATTGACCACCTACTTACCATGTGGCCAAATTGTGTCTGCCGATGGTAGAAGCAACTCAAGGTGCCCTGAGGCCAGGGCTACTGACCTACCAGATGGACAGCAGGGTGCATGATGTGCCTATATGGGGCTGGCTCCTCAGCTGCTATAAGTTGGCATAAGGCTTTTGTTCTGATTGCTATACTAGCTGAGAATCTGGTTCATGGCATCTAGAGACCTGCTGGAATGGGGCTGCCAATTACCTTTAGTTGAAGCCAGTGTTGGGATGGAAGGAGATCAAAGAAGCATGAAGAGATGGGTCCAGGGAGCCACCATCTGGCATAGGCTGAGGAGGATAATAATTCCTCCTAGACTGAGCAAATCCCTCTGTGGGGGAAGAGAAACAGTTTGTGCATTGGATGGATGTTGTTTTTACCACGCGTAGAGAGAGCTGGGTGTGGGGTGATCAGAGGGGGGATGTTGGCTCTCATGAGCTGTGTAGAGTCTCTTACAGAGACTTGAGACATTGGTGGGCACAGTAAATGGCAGCACTAGTGGTAGGCACTAGCAGGAGATGGCACCTGGGATCTGCCTGTAGATGCTTAGAAACAAGGCTGAGGTTAGGGACTTTGGGCTCTGAGATTCTTCTAGTCCCACATGCAGGGGGATAGAAGAGCTGAAGTTTGTGGATGAGGGACCGAGTTTATTAGGCTGTGGGGAAAGGAGGGCTCTTAATCACTGCTGGCAATGACAGCAAAGAAGAGTTTGGAGGCTGTTTAAGAGGGTGGAGGGGAGGGGGAAAGCTGGCAGGTATAGAGACGCTCTCTAGTCAGACAATGGACATCATCTGCTGGGGACATCAGAGGTACAAGTTCCACTGCAGTATGTATCCAGTAGAATGGGCTAGGATTGCCCTGCGGAAGAGTAGGGTGAGGACAAGGAGGAATAATCCAATAAGGTATAACAAGAGTTTCAGGTAAAATGGGCTGTCCTGTTACAAATCACAGCTACTATCAGCTGCAGATCACATGGGATGTTTGAGACATACCTGGGTGAGCTGGAAAGGCTGGGATTTGGGGACGATCTCGACACCACTGGCATTTCCGTGGTGGGAAGGGACCGATTAGCGAGATGCTCTGACGAACTATACATGGGGGGAGCAAGGAGAATACCTATCATGGAGATACTCTTTACAGGTGGTGAAAGTGAGACATTGCCAGAGAAGATGGAAGAATTGAGGGCGGTGGGGTTGAAAGGAGATTAAAAGATGGAACAACTCAAATAATTAAGTTCCCATAAATCACTGTTCAGAGCGTGCTAAAGAATGGAGAAATGAGCTAGTAACAAAGATTCGTAATTTATCATTAAAAAGTGCTGAGAAGCTGGAGGACTGGAAGGCAGCCAGTGCTGTGTCATCTCTGTAAAAAGGTGCCATGCTAAGGGTGTGCTTGGAAATAATAGGCCAGGGAAAACAGTAGAGAAAAACTATGGAAGAGAGAATTGCAAAGCATTGAAACGAGTGTAATAGTTTAGGGATGGCTTCCATAAGAAGAAAGCTGTTTGTCTCACCTGTTAGTACTGAATGATCAAACTAGTGGGTAAAGCAGAAATGGTGGAGATCAGTTATTTGCTCTTTCCAAAAGCTTCTGGGGAAGAGCCTCATAGGAAGCTATTCAAGGTACCTGATAACCATACAGAGAATGGTGAAGCCCTGTCGCTGATTAAAAGCTGACATGAGACATGATGGGATCTCATTGGGGGGGAAACATTACATATGACTGCCCTAAGGGTCTGTACCAGGACCCGTGTTCGATATATTTATTAACCTAGAAAGGGGGGCTGGGTACCGAAGTGGAAAAATTTGCTCCCAGAGAGCTGAGAGCTCACATACACCTGTGCAATTGCATTAACTACAAAGAAGTCACACCAGATTTACAGCGGTGTATGAACTGAATCAGGCCCTATACGGTTTAACTTAGTTCAGCAGCATTACGAGGCAGGCGCTCCAGAAGAATCTGGAAAAATCAGGTGACATGAATTTCAGCGTAGAAAAATGCCAAAGTTGTGCCCAT